ATATTAAACATTTTTATAGTCTCTGTCAATTTTTTGGCTGAAAAATATTTTCAATTATAAAACATACTGTTAAAAATGCGTTGCTCAATTATTTAGCATGAACTAACTAAAGTTGGCATGGTATCGTATGAAAAAGTTAACAAACCAGTTAATCAATTAATTAAAATTATTAGTAAATTAATTAAAAAATGGATAAATTAATGAAAAAAATGAATTAATAACTTAAAAAAATGAATATATGCATGAATGGAAATAATTGATGAATTGTTGTCCAAGAAAAAATATGAATAAATGAATGAATGGATGGATGGATAGATGAGTGACTGAACTGATTGATGAATGATAGTTTAAGCAGCTAAATAAACGGCTATAAAAGTAATAGATAGATTGATGGACGGATGGACAGCCGGAAAAAGATGGATAGATAGGGGGGTAAATGGATGAATGAAGGAGAGATGAATGGGTGAAAAAACAATTTGGTAAACGTGATAACAACGACAACAACAATAAAAATAATAACATATATTATTTTTCATATTTTTGTTATTGAGAATATTTGAAAAAAAAAACAAAAAAAGAAAGAAAATATGTCAACAGCGACTATGGCGATGATTATAGTTTTTAATAAATGATGATAATGATGATGGTGATAATGATATCAATGATGATGATGAGGAGGAGCAGGAAGAGGACGACGCGATGATGATGATAGAGATCCTTAATTAGCATTTAAATTCTTACGTCAGATGTGATTAATTAACCAGGAGAGGGCACATGCCCAGCGTTTGTTGGCCATTATTTTAACTGTGTCGTTGCTCTTGTTGTGTTGTGAATTGTTGCCGTTGTGGAGTGTGTGTACTGGTATGTGTATTGGTGTGTGTGTTGTTTTTGTTACTGTGTGTGTGTGTATTGGTGTATGTATTTGTATTGATGTGTATGTTGTTGTTGGTGTGTATTATGTTGTTATTGCTACTATGTGTGTGTGTGTGTATTTATTGGTGTATGTATTGTTGTGTATGTAGTTGTTGTTGTGTATGTTGTTGTTGTTGGTGAGTGTTGTATATGTTGTTGTATGTGTGTATGTGTATAAGTGTTTATGTATATTGTGTATTTTGTTGTTGGCGCATGATTTTGTCGTATGTTGTTGTGGTGGTTGTTATGTGTATGTTTTTGTTGTTGTTGTGGGTGTTGCTGTATTGTGTGTATGCTACTGATGTGTATTGTTATTGAGGTGTGTATATCGTGCTTTTGTATTTTGTGTTGCTGTCCTAAACAAACAATTATGCGATATATTGCAATAATAAAATACCGTTGACGTTGGCGAAATTATTTTAAAGGAGTGTTTTTTTATGATGTAGCCAAATTAAATCAGGCAATCTATGAAAACTAAGAGAATCTTAACCTTTACTTATTTAAATGGATTAAAACTTACAAATGGCAAAACAATCAAATTGTCGCTAATTTATCAATCAAACTAAACAATCAAAAAAACAAATCAATCAACCAATCCATCGGATCAACCAATCAAAAAGAAGGACGAAGAAGGTAAACAATGGACAGCCAATAGGACGAGAGCTATAAACATTCAGCGAACAGACAATAAGTGAACATCAAACTCAAAGAACTAAAAAAAGAAAACTTTTAAAAATGTACTGATGTTGAATTGTATGAATTGAAAAAACATAAAAAAAAGAAAAAAAAGAAATTACAAGAGTTGTTGGATAGTAATTTGCATTCATTATGAAAACCGCACTGGAACTCTAACAAGACAAATTGTGCCCCAAGTTCAACTGATTGACACAAATTAGAAAGAAATTAGTTTACAAAATCCTTTGACACGTTAAAATATGGATCCTATATGTTTGACACACACACACACACCACACACACACACACACAACACATACACACACAAATCCAATGATATATTTAGATGCTTCTATATTCAATAACCATTGAACCGATACCGAGAATTGAACGTTAATGTAAATGTCATCCCATCCCAGCTTTCGGTTGTCATGTTACTTTTTATTATTAATATTTGAATGAATGCTATAAATTAAAATATAACCAAATGCAATAATTTTGAACCCCATAATGAAAAATTGAATGCACATCATTCAATAGTTCGAGGTTTTCTCAACGAGATATCTTTCAAAATGCATTCGCGAGTACATTCAATTACAAGAGGAAAGAGAGAAAAGTGAATTAACTGAATGAATCTTCCAAGAAACATAACATAAATCATACTATTAAATTATTCACAAGAAAAATATTGAAAAAACTTCCATAAAAGAATTAACTTCAGAAATGCACCAGACGTTAGTTGAGTTAGCTAGCGAACCGTCGTCTACGTAATCTTAAGCAAATAAATTGCAAAGAGAATAGCCCATACAGTAAGACTGTGATCTTCAGTTGAGTCGCTATAGCAGCAATATGATATAAATACGTTGGAGATTAATGGAGATTATATTAGAAATGCTACTGAACAACCCTATGAACCAAAGCTTAAAGAATGAATTGATAATCTTAGCTTGCAGAGAAGCCTTATAATAATAAATTACAAAAAATAATAATATCTGTTATAATAAATAATAATAATATCATTAATGAAGAAGTAGCGAAAAATATTTTTGTTAAAGATGAGTACACCTACCTAATTGTGAAATAATGCTGTTATACAACAGATGCAATAACAACCACAACAATGCCAATAAAAAATAAATTTACATATAACAATAATATAAAAAAGTGATGTGATAGCAATGATGAGGATAATATTGGTGAGGTCGACGACAATCATTCAGATAGAGAGTTGTAGAGATGGATTGAAAATAAAGCGTTGATAATAGTGATATTTATAATCGTGACAGTCTTTATGTGCGCATGTGTGTGTGTATGTCCATGTGTGTGTATTTGTGCGTGTGTGTCTGTTTACGTGCGTGTGTGCGTGTGTGTGTGTTTATCATGTTCGTATCATGTGTCTTTATCTAGCTTATATTAGGTTATTTTTCAAGAGAAAGAATGAAATATAGCTAAATAAATTTTGGTTATAATAAAACGGTGCATCAAAAAATAAATAATATAAAAACAACATCTCATAAGCATAACAGTTTCAAATGCAAGAAAGCAGAAACAATAGAAAATGTTCAGTCAAAAAAAGACACAGAACAAAATCTAATACAACATAGATGGGAAGAAGAAGCCAAACAAGTGATTAAAGAGGGAGATAAAGAGAAAAAGTGTGGAAAAAAGAAAAACAAAAAAATAAAAAAAAATAGAAAAGAGAGAAAGTTGAGTGGACCGAGGAGCAAAAATGATGTCAGCAAACTGGCATGCAAATCGGAGAGATACAAGTGCCATCTGACCATTAAATCACCTGCCTCTCCACTTGAAAGTTCATCACACGCACCTTTCCTACATTACTCCCCGGGCATATAAATATAATACAAATACGTGTACATACACAACGTATAAATTCATGCATCACGTATATATAAATATAAATAAATAAATATGAATAAATATATATATATATAACTGACAAAATTTTTTTAACAAATTTGTAAATTCAAACTTTGTTAGTTGTAGAAACGTCTTAGCTCTGTTAACTCAGCCGATGAGGTTATGCAAACAGAACTTCAATAACCACGAACGAACATTCTCGTAAGCCAGTTGATAAAAACATGACAGAAACAACATCACAAATGCGCCAAATTAACGCGAAAAAGAACCAAATACGAATACGCATATACACAAACACAGATACTTATTTAGTATTTAGGTACTTTATAAAACTCATTAAGCTAATAAACAAAAAACATTGCTTAAACAAGAGACCCACAGAAAGCTGAAATAAGTGAGGCGTGCCTGCCAAAACAAATGCAATGAGACATAGAGACCATACATTAGCAGAAGAGAGAATGGAGATCTAATTTTAGATAACACTCAGGCAAGCGTCCTATGTATCGTTATGATGAACTATGTTTATATATACGTGTTTTTAAACATGTAGACACCCTGATATACATACGCAATATATATATATATATATACATATATATATATATATATATATATATATATATATATATATATATATATATATATATATATATATACACGGAACTTCTTTTTTTTGGGATTCATAACAACAACCATTATTTATATATACTAAATTTTATTTATCTGCTTATGTTTTCCAGTAACCTAGTAACAAAGGTATCCATGTATTTTGATTTTTTAAGTTATTCTGAAATCCAACATTGTTTATATAGGTTGTTTGCATATTTTATGAATTAAGATGATTAACAAATATGACATAAAAATAAATGAAAATTGAAATAAAAAATAAAAAACAAAATGAAAAACAAGACATAAAAAATTTAAAAACGAAAAATTGAAAGAAAAAAAACTATAAACTAAAACAATGCACGCACGAGTGTACATCAAATTGAAAAAAAAGCAAGAACTTTTTTAACAATTTTTTTCATTCAAACAAACAAAAAAACTTTAGATACTAAAAAAATATTGAAAATAAAGAAAAAAACTCAATATTTTTAAAATAATTACATAAAAAACTGATTCTTAGTCGCAGCAGGAAAAAAATAGCAATCGGGAAGAAAAACAAAGCAATAAACATGGCCTCAAAACCATCACAGATATCTGCTGTAAAGCATGGCGATAAAAATACCTTCATGCCCTTTGAAAAATTATACCGACATACAAACAATATAAATGAATATATACAAATATTGTAGAAAAATACAAATATACAAATGCAAAAATATGCATGCTACACAAAAAAAACAAAGAAAATGTACAAATAAACATGAATATTTTGAAAAATAACAAATTAGAAAACAAAAAAAAATACAAAAAAACATCGTTATACAAAAGGTAGCAGAATAACAACAATACAAACCAAAAATAACAATATATACAAAATACAAAATGCAAGCAAATAAAAAATTATACCATAAATATTAAAAAATACAAACTTCTTTTCTGAAAAAACTGACGAAGCCGTATCCTCTGGATTTTGAGGTCTGTGGATCTCGAATGATCTTGCAGTCCCTGGGTTAAATTAATTATTTATTTTTTCTATTATAACAAATAATAATAATTTTTATAATTAATAAAAGTTTATTGTTATTACCATTAAAAGTCTAATTATTCTAATTATTAATATTACTATTACTACTAAATATTACTACTGCCACTACTTTTGTAATTATTTATAAGTGATATAAAGTCATTTTTATGAAAAGTACATACAACATGGTTAGGAAGATGATGATGAAGATGTTGATGACGATGATGACTCGGTTGGTGAAAGAAATATTATTAAAAATGATGATGAAACGATGATGATGAGGACGAAGATGAAGATGAAGATGGCCGTGAGTGACAGTAGATAAAATGATGATCAGCCATTTTTTTTATCGGCGAATATTTTTAAATTGTATTCTATCTTAATTCTTTTTTGATCTATCCATCTATTCTTCTATTCTCCTATCTATCAATCATTTTTTTAACGATGGTGCATTATTTTTCTATTCAATCATTTAATTATTTAACTGTTGGTGGTTAAAAATTTTTTTTTGAGCAATTCAATTGACTCCGGTTATATTAAAGTTCATTTAAGACATTCATTCATCAATGCATTCATTCACCCATACATTCATATATTCATTCATACAGTCAGTAATCATTTATCTATCGATTCAATCAATTAATTATTCATTCAATTATTTATTCATTCATTTATTCACTCACTCCTTCACTCACCCACTCACTCACCCACTCACTCACCCACTCACTCGCCCACTCACTCACTCACTCACTCACTCACTCACTCACTCACTCACTCACTCACTCACTCACTCACTCACTCACTCACTCACTCACTCACTCACTCACTCACTCACTCACTCACTCACTCACTCACTCATTCATTCATTCATCCATTCATTCCCCTACATTCATTCATCTACATCTTATTCACACACCCATTCGTTCATACAGTCAGTCATTCGATTCTTTTCAGACCGGCACATAAATCATGAAATGAATAACCTAATTAAATATTTTAAGTAGTAAAATTGAGGAATCAATGAAAGGACCAATCTAATAATCTCCAAATGATCTAACGGTCGACCAGCGAAGCACATGATGCTGCTATCTATCTCAGTCATTTTTCAACCTAACAAAATAAAACAACGTAATTGATGAAGATTGATACCTCTGTGTGTGTGTGTGTGTGTGTGTTGTATATGTGTGTGTGTGTGTCGTGTGTTTGTGTGTGTGTGTGTGTATGTGCGTACGTGTAAGCCAATTTTAGGGTTTCACTTTCAATTCATCACATTTGCACATTTGAAAACACAGTTAACAAATTTAGGACGAAAAGAGGAAAAGTAATAAAAAGTTTGGCTTTTGAATTTTTTGTTAAATTAGTTTAATTTAATTAATTAATTTAATCAAATTAATGAGTAATTTGAAAATTAATCCACGCGACGGTTTTGTTTTCTCCCCACCTCCTATAAAATCTCAACTAGAGAAAACGCTGATGCGTAACACTAGCTGTGAAAACTACGACCAAAAAATTTGTTTAACAACCCAACGACACAAACGCACATAGTAGCGCTGATTAACAACAACAGCCACTAAAACAACAACAACACCAACCTTAACCACAGCAATAACTCTTGTTGAGAGCACAATAACTTCATTTATAGAAGGCTATATTAACAGCAAAATATCAACCCTAAGTTAAAAAACAGCATCAACAAAATCCGAAACCAAAAAACCAAATAAAACCAGAATTTTCACAACACCAGCAACAATATCAATGTTATCGGCAACAATTTAAGAGACAAACGAACGAAACATTGTAACAACAACAACAACGACAACAACAACGACAACAACAGAATTTTTTTTATAAAGGTCCAGCAAATAGCGGCCAATAATCGAGCTATTTAGTAAATTTACGCTAGCAACCCAGTAAGCATTAGCCATGAGTTGTATGGAGTCTTACTGCTTGCTGTACGGGCGTTCAAAGACGGAACGGAATTAAGAGGAAAATGTTCATACAGATGTAAGTTACAACCTCTCTGTGGGTTTGTATCTTTTTGTTTTGTTGTTGTTTTATTTGTAAATTTTGCTGTTGTTGTTGTATGTTGTTGTATTTTTGTTGTTGATGTTGTTATTGTTGTGTACATTAGGCACAATTCTGTATATATTTTTTGTTTTTACTTTTTAATTTGGATTTTTCCAATAAAATTCATACTTGTTAACTAGTTTTTGTGTTTAGTTCAATTTGTGTACTCAAATGAATATTGCTAATGTTCAAGGATGTTTGTTAAGAAGGAATGGACCACTAATCTGCTCAAGTTCCTCAATAGATATATTGGCGCGTCTTTTGCAGAAAAAAGTGAGAGTTTTTTTAATTACGTGAGATGTGCAAATATATTTCTAGGCACAGAAACGCTATTAAGAATACAAATGCTCTCAATCATTAAAAAACATTTATATTCATATGATCGTCTCTATGATAGCATGTCTCCGAACGTTTTAAAACTTTACTAACGGATCGAATGATCGAAACTTTGTCAACCTACAGGTTCAAATATGCTCAAACGTTTTTATGTACCGTGAGTCAATTTTGTATTCCACTTTAAACAACAATTAAAGTTTTTTAACTAAAATTTTTTTATAGTCATTTAACTAATTTTTCGCGATATGACAGGAAAATGTTTTCGTTATTGAACTGACACATTTTTTAAATGTTAGCGAGAAAGCCTACAAGTGTTCAATAAAAACTTCATATATAACCACGTGTTGACTCAACCAGTTCCAAGTAACCAGGCAAACTTTAAAATTTTTTTTTAAATCACACAAAAAACATTTTTTGAAAACTTTTATTTACTTTAACGAAGAGTAACAAAAAAAATTGTATGCATAATACAATGTAGAAAAACAACAACATAAAAAAAACACAGCAAAAAAACTGCAAAAAAACTTTCATCAATGAAGACAAACACAGGCAAGCCGACTAAATAGCTAGAAATGCATTCTTAATGCATCACGCTGGCAACGAAGCGTGCAGAATTTACACGGAGGGCCTCAAAATTTACAAACATTCTTCGCTATTCTTAACGATAGACTCTTTTGCAATTTAGAAATATTTTGTTGCAAAGTTAGACTGATTTATATCCGTTTAACATCGTTATGAGCCTTTAATATTGAAATTTAATGCAAGCAATCTTTCGCAAATCTAACACACATACACTTAGAACAAACATAGACGTATTATGTTTATTGTTTTTTGTTATATTTAATTGAATCTTGTTTATAATTTAGTTCAACAAAATAACACAGTTAAAACAAAAAAATTGAAATGTAAGATAGAAAAACAAAGTAAGAAAAACAATCATGGACAACAAAGTTGAAGAGAAAGCTATGAAGAAAAACAAAGGAAAGAAAAAGGAAAGGATTGAAAGAAAGAGTGAGAAAGAGAGTATGAGAAAGAAATAAAAAGCGATAGGAATGCAGGATTATAATCGATCTTTATAATTTTTTTTTCTTGAAATGAACCCATTTTATCATCTTCATTATATCTTCCATCCGTTTCATTGAGTCGTCTTCCTTTTCCATTTTGAATAACTATCAATGAAACTACATCTTTGTCAACAATCGCTTTAAAAATGTATTTACTGTTTGTAAAATGATATTCTTTAACGAATTTTTTCTTAGCGTAGATAGTTCTAAGTTTTTTGTTTTTATTATTTTTACATAACTATTATTATTATTATTCTTGTTATATTACTTTCACGTACTTATTATTCTTGTTATATTACTTTCACGTACTTATTATTCTTTGGTCGGAGTGCCTGAGTTGATGGTATAGTTGCTATTTTCATGTACCTATAAATATGCCATGCCTTCTTCACAAGGCTTTCCACTTAATAACTTTTCTCTTTAATTTCTCTGCTTTCGGTCTTCTAATTGAATGAATTATTATTTTATGTGCATCGCCATATTTTTCGTAATTATTATTTTTTGTACTTATAACTATATATATATATATATATATATATATATATATATATATATATATATATACCTGTCTGCTGCTCTCAGAAATCCGGTCTAAATATTATTTCGTATTTTCATTATATTGAATCGATTACTTTTTCTGTTTATAATCAAATTTTAATCTTATTTCTGTACGATGCATTGTGATTTCTCGTTTGTTATCTCAATTATGTTGCTAAATTCAGTTTTTGTTAGATAGCGCTTTTGAGATTCGTTTAATTAGCGCTTCATAAATGTTTCAATAATGATAATAATAATATATATATATATTTGTGTGTGTGTGTGTGTGTCCTATTTTTTAATCCAGCACCGCTGTTATGTTAACTTTCTTTATGTGTGATCTGGTTTTTCTTTCGATGTTTATTATTAACATTTTATACTTTTCTAAATGTCAGTAACTACATTGTATAAAATTGGGTATAGATTTTATAAAACTTGCGTAATAGATTTATTTATTTTAACTGTTTCAAACTAATTAATTGCAATTAATTAAATAATTAATTTTATGATAAAAAAAACTTCAAAGTTCGTTCATTTTATCTATTGACCAAATTTGTTTTGTTTTTAATGTTGGTTAAGTAAGGATAAAACAAAGAAAACAAAATTATCTAAACATTATTGTCAAACAGTGCAACATTGAAAGTTTTCTTTCAAATATTTTTTTAACAAAAGTTTGCAACAAAATGTTAAACACTACAGAACAGCAAAACAGAATAAATGACCTACAATGGTTGATGGTAGTTTTTTATAGAAGGACAATGAAACCACTATGACTACTTGTATATTTGGAAAACTAAGCAATTCAAATAATGTGGTGAAACGTTTGGAGTTGGATTTAGAGTGGAACCCCTAGCATGAGAACTTTTCTTCCAAAATGATATATAGGCCCTATCATTAATAAAATGCAAATCTATATTATTGCCGGGTAGTCTTGAAAAGCCGTGAATGTTTTATATGATAGAAACATAGAAACATAA